TTCCAATTGGTTTTTCAGTTTTTCATGATCACCCCTATCTACAACAAAAGGAATTAGGCTGGTTCCCTAATATAAAAACTATTGTTTCGCTTGTAGCATTCTATACCATCATAATTAAACCATAAATTTCCAGTGGTTTTAAATCTAACTCCTATGCATTATGGGGTTTAGAACAAACAATAACAAATACAAGAACCAATGCTAGAAAGTTGATAAGTGCTGAAGGAGCAGAAAATACTTGAGATCAAGGCCAATCCTATAACAAACAAGTGTGCAAATGAAAAATAGAGGACAGATTGTTTGTATTTCAAAATAGAGCTGTGTATATAGATATATTAATAGGGATGCAAATGGATCAGATCGAATTTAAATTATGATAGATATGAATCCAATTCAAAACTACTAATTGCAGATCCCATCAGATCTCATAAACATGGATCTGATTCAATTTGATATTTTTTGAAAACAATTAATAAATTATTAAAAGCAAAATAAAATATAATAAAGAAAAGCAAAAAATACAAGTATCTTTTCAACTATTTTCGTCATATATATACATGTTTTTCATAAAAAATAAATAATAGAACAAATTTACACAAATGCAATATAAATAATATATTTATAAATAAATAAATGTCATATATATATATATGTGTGTGTGTGTGTGTGTGTTGTATTTATATAAATAAATAAATAACACATATATCGGATCGGATCTTCTCGAATCGGATAGGGATGATTCGAATTCGATTTGATTTCTTATTGGATCCTATTATCCGGTTCAATCCGATCTGAAAGATTTGAAATGGGGATATCTGAATATGAGAATATAGGATCAGACTTCAGGTCGGATCAGATCATGATCTGATCCATTTGCATCCCTATATATTAACCGACTTAAGACAAGTGGCCTAACTAATGCAAGTCGTATGTCCAGTTGGACAGCTAGACTAACAGAATTTGTTTCAACAAATTGACACATGTTGCTATATGCCCCCTCAAGTTGGAGCATGGATTTGGGTGATGCCCTACTTGGGAACTAATTAAAGCTTAAACTAATCCCACCCCAATGCCTTCACAAAGATATCTACTGGTTGCAATTTCGAGGAAATGTGTGCAATAATAATAGTTTGGGATTGAATGTGCTAGCAGATGGAATGACAATCAAGTTCAATATGCTTGGTTCACTCATGGTAAATGGGGTTATCAACAATGTGAAGGACTGCTTTGTTGTCATGGCAGATTTGCAATAGGCTCTAGATGATGGAGGCCCAAATCATGAAAGAGACGTTTCAACCATAATAACTCACTAGTGGCTGGAGCAGTACTCAACTTCAGTGGAGGAACGAGATATAGTGGATTATTTCATTGTCTTCCAAGAAAGAGGAGAAGAGCCAAGAGTGGTAAAATATCCTATGGTGGATCAACGAGTGGTTGGACAACCAGCCCAGTTGGAATCACAATAGGCCCATAAAGCAAGATCATTTTGTGAAGGCAACAAAAGACCATATGATCTAGGGAGGATTTTAGATAACGAAGTACATGTATGGCCACTTCCAGATTATGTTGGGTGGATCAACCATGAATTGGCTTAAGATGTGCACCGAGTAAGTGATCTTGAATCGTGCTATAGTTAAATAAATGAGGCGACCAACTACTCTTCTATATTGAGTTGGGTGAACAATGGGTGGTCCAGAGTCATTTTGGAGGCGGTGTTGTTGCTCCATGGGAAATAGAATGGATTTAGAAGCAAGCATTCCAGCATCTTTTAGAATATCCAATGTGTATTTGCATTGGCTAAGAAAGATGCCACGATTGTCACAGAATACATCGATGCCCAAAAAATAATGTAGAGGTCCAAGATCCTTGATGGTAAAACAATCGCTAAGATACTATTTTAGAGTTACAATGGTGAGGGGATCACTTCTAGCCAACACTAGGTCATCAACATAAGCCAACACAACAAAAAAACACCTCGGCTTGGTCATAGTGAAGAGTGTATTATCAACAAAAAATTGCACAAATCCCTGTTGTTTTAATGCTTGTGCTAAGTATCAAACTAGTTTATTGAAGCTTGTTTTAGGTCATATATGGACTTATTAAGATGACATACATGTGCATCTCCTGGGAAAGTAAACCCAGTGGCAGTAACATGTATGCTTCTTCTTGTTATGCTCCATGCAGAAAAGTGTTGCTGACATCCTTTTGGTAAAGTTTCCATTGGTGTGTTGTTGCAAGGGACAATAAACAATGAATAGTGACAAGTTTTGCCACTGGAGCATATGTATCAATGTAACCCATGCCTTTGGTTTGTGTGTAACCCTTAGGCGTGCTTTGAATCACTTGACGCTACCATCGGCCTTGTGATTAACTTTGCAAACCCACTTATAGCCTATGGGCTTCTTTCTGGGTGGCAAATCAATAAGGATCCATGTACTAGTTCTTTTTAAAGCGGCAAGTTCATCAAACATTGCTTGATGACAATAAGGAAATTGATGGGCTTGGGCAAATTACTTGGGTTCTGCAGATGTTTGCATAAGGTTTATTGAAAAGCTAAGGGTGAAGATGTGAGGTAACTAGATATGGGGTGATGAGTGTTGGTGTGGGACATACAAAATCATTGAGATGAGATGGAAGACAATAGGAGCAAGGGGTTAGCTCAAGGTGGGTGTTGACAATTTTAAAACTGTTACAAGGTCAATAAGTGAGTCAATCCAACGAGGTGGGTCAATATTGATGTGGGTAGGTGTAGTTGAGGGTTCAATAGCTGAATCATGGGTCGATTGTGAGTTCATGATAGCATCGTCGCATGTTGGCAACGGGATTATAATCTCTAAAGAGTGACCATTTTATGAAAATTGTTCTTACAATACCCCTTGTACCCAACAAACACGTATCTATGAGAATGTGATGCAAATTTGTCTCAGCCCACATTGGAGGTATTAGCATAAGAAAAGCAACCAACCACCTTCAAATGATTGTAGGAGGGAGGTTTGTGAAATAACAACTCATACAAAATCTTTCAATCAATTATTAGGGTAGGTAAACAATTAATCAAATATGTTAAATTAGGATACATTCTCCCAAAATTATATTGGCAAGTAGGCCTAGAAACGGAGGGCTTACGTCATTTCAATAAGATGGTTATGTTTATGTTTGACAATTCCGTTTTGTTGTGGAGTGTCAACACATGACCGTTGATGCAATATACCATGTTTAGTTAAATATTCTTTTATGGGACCAAAGAAACTTAGACCCATTGTAAGAATGAACAAATTTCACTTTAGCTTGAAACCGTGTATTAACCATTGCACATAACATGGTAAAGTAGAAGTACATATCTAACTTGTTATTGAGCAAGTAGACCCATGTAACCCGTGAATGATCATCCCTTATAGTGAGAAAATAATGTGCTCCACTATGAGAAGGAATAGGGTATCCACCCCACATATCACCGTGAACCAGTTCAAAAGGAGTTGTGGCCCTTGTGTGACTATTAAGAAATGACAATCTAATCTACTTTGCTTCCAAAAAAGTATCACAACAATTATTCTTAGGTACTATGATATATGAATCAGGGATGAGGGATAAACAGTCATAAGAGGCATGACCCAATCATGAGTGCCAAAGGATAGACGGAATTATATGTCAAGTATGAAGGGCACTAGAAGGGTTCAAGGCCTTAAAGTGGCACAATCCATAATGCATCGTCCCTACCCTAATCAGTATCTTAGAGGCAATGTCCTACAAGACGCAAAAAGTGGGAAAAAATAAGGCTACACAATTTAATTGGGCATTGACTTTGCTTATGGACAACAAGTTGCAGCAAAAACCATGGACAAAAAGGACGTCACAAAATACAATATTAGGGGCCATTTTAACATCTCCTTGTAATTGAACCGTTAGTAAAGTGCCATTTGGTAATTGCATGAGTTTAAGGTCTACACTGGTACTAGGAGAACCAGAAATGTGCTCAGCACCATGTGGTCTGAAGCCCCACTATCTAGTGTACTCATTCAGAGGAATTAAAACATTGTTGGTTAACAGGTCTTACCAGCAAAATTGGCTAAAATCAATGCTGCTAGAGGACCAAAAAGGAGACTTAAGTAACTGTTGATATCGGTCAGTAGTCAGCCATGCAACCGGTGAGGATTCCATAGTGCGTGGTTTCCTTTCCCAGTTGGCTGGATAGCCTACCAACTCATAACAATGACCATTGGTATGCCTGGTTTTCTTATAATGGTCACACCTGAGTTTCGGATGATCCTCTATTATTGGAATTAAATTTTGGTGTGCTAACGTGAAGAGCAGTTGCCGCCACAACAGGTGCCTTCAAAACATATTCTCTTTAAGCAAGGAATTTTCTGGTGCAGGCTGCACCACCACATGAGCACGAAGGTACATTTGTACAGATGGAGAGCTCATCCTAGAGTCATTTCATCTTCGTAAAATAGGAAGAAATTGGGATATTTTTTTTGCTTACGATTAACTCACACTTGGACAAAAAATCTGCGGTGCATTCCCTTGTATCTGTCTTCAAGATCCATCCAAATCTCACAGGCACTCTCAACATAGGCCGGACAAGGCGTTGAAGATCTAGGAAACCACCATCAAATTACACTTTCTCCAGGCAAGTAGTTCCGAACATCTAGATTTATCAGGCTTCACAATTGTGCCATTGACAAACCCGGCCTTATTCTTTGCCTAGAGAGCATTGAACATGGCTCTTTTCCATGTTGAATAATTATCACCATTCAACGGACAAGATACAAGCACAGTTCCTAGATTATCATGCGGATGCAGGTAAAAAGTTGAATAATTATCACCATTAAGTTTGTCGCCATGATCACCGATCAAAGAGCACCTACGTGATGGGAGGGGGGGGAGCAGATGAAACGAATGCTGATTGAGGGATTCTTGTATTGCAGAGAAAAGAATCAAGAAAGCGCAGTCAGTCGGAGCCCAATGGCTCTCATCTCATACCATACAAACTGACGAATGTGCAAATGAAAAAAGGAAAAGATTGTATTTCAAAACAGAGCTGTATATATAGATACATTAACCGACTTAAGACAAGTGGCCTAACTAATGCAAGCTATATATCCAATTGGACAGCTGTTATAACTTATACATCCCCAAACATAATTTAATTTATACCACAAACAAGTGAACAACATCAACTCAACTTGTAATATCCCTATTCAACTTGGGAAATGAGCTAATGCCATTTTAGTGTCATACAAGCTCAATTCATCCATTGCCAAATTGTAGAGCCAATGTGCTCAGTTGTGGCTTTCCCTCAGTTCATACTGAACAAATGATATGTATAACAACTCAATGCTGTAAACGAGGACTTGACTGTTGTGTCGGACAAGTTTTCATCTGGCCAAAGAAAATCCTATTTACAACATGAACGGGCAAAGCATAGGCTGGATCTATGGCTTTTAATCCTGGATATTCTAGAAGTGAAAGTCCTGCAGTAACAGTAAAAAAAAAAACAGGGATAAAAAGATATTAGGAATATGGAAGAGTGAAGCCTGGTCCTGCATTCTTGGAATTACTAACAAAATTTAACGGGGTCAACCTACCAATTCTGCCACTATATAGAACAGAACCGGAGGCTTGGGATCCACCATGACCATGCAATAGTCATGAACTTGGTTGCTTACAACCCTTACATAAACAGGAGAGAAAAACAGCATAAATTCAACTTTTCATACCAGCGACTCCAAAATATGTATGGAAAACATCAACAGCATCATCTGGCCGATCTGAAATTCCTCCGTTTTCCTTGTCCTATATTTTTAATGATAGAAAGACAATGCTAAGGTGCTTATCAAGACCAGCTTTTTAGAGATAAAAAGTTACAAGAAGATAACGAGTTCAATATTCAAGACTACCCACTGAATAACTTAAAAAGGAAATAGGTGTCACTGAGTTCATCAACAACCTGGCAGTCCAGTATAAATCTTGCAAGCTTTTCCTTGTCAATCCAATGTACTCTGTCAATCATGATCAAGCTAGAAAGAACCCACCAGGAGTAGCAAACCTGAAGAAATGGAGATAGATAAATCTACTGTAGGCATTAGCCTCTACTAAGAAACTCAGTTAAAATACACCCACATCAGGAAGCTTCTCAGGACGCCCATTTAGCCCTCCAGATTTAACTTGCCGCTCGCATAACCACCACCCAAGAAGGTCCTTGTCAACATGGTGTAGAGACCCTGTTATAGCAAGGGCACCCACACAGCAGAATACTGCAATTCCATTGCAAGACACAGAAGTTAGTTTTAACTTTTAAGCCTAATTTGCACTTGATGCAAAGAAGAAAATGGGCATATAGTAACAGATGCCAAGTGGCCCAAGCCAATTATGTAGCAAGAATGGGCACCCGTGCACATATACATGTACTGAAACTGGTAGTCATGCCAATGCTCTAGAGCAAATTGTGGGCATGTGTTAAAGCCTCAAATTTTGCTGGATTGAGAGCAGACTATTAGGCTACTCCCAAAGCTTATAAAACCCTTCTTTCCAGACCAGTCTTCTAGGCCCAATTCTATAGGTCGGTTGAAGTATTTTATTACTGCAGTAAAGCCTTTTTAAGTAGGCAGCAGGCCTTAAATTAATTTAAAAGGGATTTGGTCCCTAATAATAATTCATTAAACACTTAACGGGCCTGTAATAGAGCCCATTTAAACGGGCAACGAGCTCTAAAAGAGTTAATTGTCTTAATTAATAAAGGCCCACTTACAGTCAGCTCCATGATCCAAAACTTTATGTGGGTGAATGCAGAATCCCCCTTGGGTGTGGATTTGGAAGCAGAAAATTCCTTCAAAGGTGACTTTTTCATTTGGACAGCTATCATAGGAAAGATTGCTACTATTGATGTCCTAAGAAGGAAAGGAATGTGCATCATTAACTGGTGTTGCTTATGTGGCATGGGCAAGGAGACTATCTAACACCTTGTGAACTGCCCTTTCTCCCAACATCTCTGGTCTCATGCTTTGCAGCTGTTTGGGGCTAACTTGTGGAGCCTCTGATTTCTACTTGGAAGTTACAAGCTTTCAGCAAGAGAGGGAAAGTTCCGTGGAATATGACCCCTTTTGTAATCTGCTGGTGATTATGGAAACAGAGGAATGACTGAACCTTTGAAGGCAGTTATCAGCCCAGTGAGAGGCTGCATGGAAAATTTGAAAGAATTCTTTTGAAATGGGCCTCTATTAACAGTCAGTTTCGGGGTCTGAAATTCAAACACTTCGCTAATCACTGGGACTATATTTTGTAGGATGAGAGGTTTAGTTTGTAATGCCTTTGCAGTTTGCTCTTTCTTTTGACTCATTGTACTAGGCTGTTGAGGAAAGCTCTCCCTCCACAGCCATATTTGCTTCATTAGTCTTTAATGAAATTATCACCTTTCAAAAAATAATAATAATAAAGCCCACTTAGGGGAGAACCATCTATAGCCTTGTTCATGAAACTCGGCTGACTATGTTTCGCAACATCTTTTGTTGATTGTTAACAGTGAAAACTTTTCATTAATATAAATAGTAGTGTACGAAGATTAATAAAGGGAGTGAATCGGCTGATTATGTTTCCCAACATCTTTTTTGATTGTTAACAGTGAAAACATTTTGATTATGTTTCCCAAATTCACAGGTGAGCCCCAATACAAATGTTCCCTATCAACCCCTAGTCTAGCTAGAGAATCTGCTAGCCCATTTGCCTCCCTTGGGACCCATTGATACACCACTGTTATTCCCCTCAGAAACCATAAGATTTTCTTAACCCCTTCCCTACATCTCATTAATTAACTTCTATAAAATCTTAATTCTACACAGGGAGTGAAACCATATACAACCTTGTTTATGAAATTTGGTTGATTATGGTTCCCTATGCCTCATTTGTTCATAAAGTTCTACAGAAGCTTGATGTTGTACAGGGAAAGAAACCATCTACAGCCCTGTTCATGAAACTTAGCTGTTTATGGTTCCTACACCATAAAACTTTGATTCTAAGTAGGAAGAAAAACAACCTTCAGCTTGTTTATAAAATTTGGCTGACTATGGTCCTTAGTCCCTACTTAAATATTAAAAAAAAAGGGTTATCCATTTCTTTATTTCTCCTAGTTTCTCTTAAACTATGGAGGAAATGCACTAGAATTTCACCAATACTCTATTCACTTACCTTTAAATCAGAATTAAAAGGTTTTATTTGTCCCTAGCAAAGATGTAAGTAAGGGAATATCTATGTGATATCCTGAATAGGGCTTAATAAAAAGACTAAAAAGCCCAGCTACTAGTCTAATTGGGTAAACTATGTTATACAACAAATTCTACCAAAACATTTTCCACTAACATGTCTTCAGACTTCATCATACTACATAATCAAGACAACTATTTAAAAAGCAGTAGTTTTTCATTCTTTTTATTTATTTTTTGTCCCAAAGAAACATGAATGATAATGTTATTATCATTGCAACACAGCATCTGATCATCTCCATTAATGAGTACCAACAAAGCCTGATAAAAAATAAAAATTAAGTCCAATCTGAAAATCGTAATTAAATCATAAATCGTAGAGAAAGTAAATCAAACCAAAAAAATTAAATATACATATGCTAAAAGGCTAAATATATATATAGAAAAGTGTTCTACCCTATTTTTAAGTTCTATCTACCATTTATGTACCTAAAACAGTAGAATTTACCACTTATACAATAGTTGTTGTGAAACTTATTTAATGGTTTGCTGTTAGTATGTGGTTAGTATGCTGTCAGCCTAGTCAACCTAGGTGCTGTCAGCTAGTTTTCTTTTTTTTTTCTTTTTCTTTTTGTTATTTGTTTATTATTAGGAATTGCTGCCAGGGGCATTCTTGTAATTTCAGATCTTATTATTTTAAGAGAATATAAATAACAAGCTGGTATCCACCAGCCTTGTCTTTGGTTCTCAATCGAACCTCTCTCTCTTCTCTTTTCCTCTCTCTTCTCTCTCTCGTCTCTCTCTCTCTCTCTCAGGAAAGAACACATGGTATCAGAGCAATAATTCTGGGCTTGAAATTTTTTTCCCCTCATCTGAATCTCAGTCCTCTTTTTTCTCTTTCTCTTGATCTCTTGGACATGGAAGACCAAGAATTCTAATTGGACTGGTCAAATTTCTTGCGGCTATTGTTCTTTGGGTTCTTCCTTGGTCGTAACACCAAGGAAACCTTAATAGAAGAGGGGTGATGCTGGAATGACTCTCCTCTCTTAGTTCTATGCTGTGAAAAATATTTTCTGGGTTTTCGATGCTGTGAAAAATATTTTCTGGGCTTGCACCTTTGTATTCTAGGTTTTCGATGCTGTGAAAAATATTTTCTGGGCTTGCACCTTCGTACAGGTGCTGGACAGGGTTTTGAGGTTTACATCTTCGTGCTGAACAGGGGTATGTGTTTTTTTTTTAATCATGTGCTGTTGCCAAACTGTTAGTAGGCATTTTTAATGACTCCCTGTGGCTGAACTATTGCTGTTAATAGACTGTTTTCAGTAGCTTGTTAGTAGACTAGTTGCTGGACTGATTACTAGTCTATTCTAAGGGCTGAACCATTGCTGGACTGTTTTCAGCCGTATTTTTTCCTTTTCCGGAAGTGAAATTTCTTGGGAGTTCAGCATTCTGTTAGTGTGGGATCTGGTCTGGTATATTTGTAACCCTTTTTTCTTAATGGCAAATTAAGATTCAGCATTATCTGGAGTTACACCAACTCGTAGTACAACTGGTATGGGGGGTGAAAACATGAAGTTTCCCATGCCAATTACCCATTTAAATGACCTGAACTACCTGGAGTGGGCTAAAAGTGTGAAACTTTATGTAACAGCAAGGGGAAAGCTGATTACATAAATGGCAGAGTGAAAGAACCAAAGTGTGAGACAACTAAACATGATAGGTGGGACCAAGAAAACAGTATGGTGATGTCATGGCTCCTTGCAGCCATGGAACCCAAGGTGAAGAAGAACTTTATGTGGGTAGTGTTGGTTCGGCTGATATGTTGTTATTCTCTTGTCTGGGCTGGGTATTAGAGTCTCTAGTTAATGGGCCTTAGTAACTGGGCCTAATTGTATCTTGTGTTTTATTAGACTGGGTGTCCCATCACTAATCAGGGGCATCTTGGTCCTTTCATGTAAATTATGTATTGCTCTTATATTAGTGAATAGTGCCGGCTGATGAACAGTGCCCATTCGAACACATCAGACTCTCCTCTCTTCTTCTTCCTCTTCTTCTTCTTCTCAGCTCTCTCAACAGGTTCAGTTCGGCAAACAGATAGACACCGCTAGTGACATTTGGGAACAGGCCAAAACCACCTATTCTGAGCAAAGGCATTATGCCAAAATTTACCAGTTGCAAGATGAATCTTCAACCTGCAAATAGGGAAATCATAGTTTGGCTGCCTATTATTCAACCCTTACTTCTCTATGGAAAGAATTGGATCACTATCAGGCTATAGAGTGGAAACATGATGATGATGCTAAGGCCTATAAGAAGCTGGTTTCTCAGCAACGGGTGTTTGCTTTCTTGTTGGGACTGAACCCTGTTTATAAATCCTTGAGAGTTCAGATCTTAGGAAGCAAAGAGTTGCCTTCGGTTCAAGAGGTATATGCCCTTGTTCAATCTAAAGAAAGTAGGCGGAGTGTGATGGTTACAATTGAGGGGGAGCAACATGTAGCTTTGGCTGCAATGGGTAATAACAATATGGGGAAGAAAAGTGACTCCAAGAAGGCTGATGATAAAGATAAGTTGTTTTGTACCCACTGTCGGCGCTCGTGACATACACGTGACACATGTTGGGAAATTCACGGGAAGCCCAAGTGGGCAGTGAAGAACCAAGAACAGGGTGAAGTACAAGGCCAAAAGAAGCTGAATACAGCACATAATGTAGCACATGTGGAAACCCAAGATACTTAGGTTGTTGGCACTACCCGGGACCACTTTACTAGTTCTGACCCCAAGGAAAATATCATGAATTCCTTCAAAGATCACTTGGAGTCATATGGTAGGGCTTTGTGACAGATGGACAATTCAATTACTGGTACTCTTACTTCATTTGCATCTACATCAGGTAATGCGGTTTCAGACTTATAGCGTTTTGTCAGTAAGGGATAAAGTGAGGCTTGTAGATGGATCATTCTCCTCCATTACAGGCCAATGATCAATATCCCTTCCCCATGGCCTTAACCTAAATAGTGTGTTGCATGTTCCCCAATTTCCTATAAATTTGCTTTCAATCA